CTCACTCGCTCACTCTCTCGCTCTCTCTCTCGTTCTGCACGCCGCCCCCCTAGCAGTCCGACGGCCTCCGACGGGTAGCTCATATCAGCACGCAGAGCTCCCCGTCATCTGCCTCCGAGCGCACGGCCTCCTCCATCGCCCACTGCTCCTTGAAGGCCGGCACGGCGTGGGTCAGCCGCGCATGGCGGAACTCCAGCCCACACACCCTGGCTCTGACCAGAGCGCGGACGATGCCCAGGCTGCCGGCCGGACGTTTCCCCTCCAGGGCCACCTTCCTCGCCCTGTGCATGGCGAGCTTGGCGTAGCCGACAAGCACGTTGACCAGCCCCTGAAGATGTTGGGGTCCGTCGCCCTTTCGGGTATCCAAAGATGAGGACCGTCGGGGAGAAGTTGAGGCTGAACCTTAGGAGGATGTTTTTGAGAACCTTGAACAACAAGTCCAGGCTCTTGCACTCCACGTATCGCTGCGCCACCGTCTCCACTTTACCGTAAAACCGGCACTCCGGGGGCGTGTCGGTGAAGCGCGCCAGGGAGGCGTTGGTGGTGACGGTGCCGTGGGCGATGCTCCAGCCGAGGTCACCGATGCGGTTGTATGTCGGGCTGGAGTAGAGTTGCCTCTAGCGAGGCCTTTCCGAAGAGATACAGGGCAGGGCTTTCCTCCAGGCCTGGTCCTTGTGGCTCCTCAGGGTGTCCTGTTGCTGACACCGGACCATGTAGGAGTAGAGCACCTTCCTCTTTACATTTGCGAAGGCCACCTCTGGTAGGTTTTCCAGCCTGCACGGGTCGTGATCCGCCTTCGTTTGTCGGCATTGGCGACGCAGCGGCACGACGGAGAGCTCCGGTGGAGGGGGACCGAGAGGGGCCTCGTCATCCCCACGCCGATGGGGGGGGGGGGGGCGTTCTCCCCGCTGCCGCTGAGAAGGCCCCCTTGGCTTCGGCCAGGATCCGGGCAGCCACCCGGAGCGATTGCAGCCCTGTCTTTGTGGCCATGTCTGCCGGTCCGAGCCACCGGCCCCGTGTTCCGGGCTCCACAAGATCTCCCATCCTGGTGAGCCGCGCGTTGGCGAGGCGCCGCTCCATGCCGGGGGTGGCGGTGGTGGATGGCAGCTTTGTCTGCGGGTTCCTGAGGATCGGTTCGAAGACCAAATCCTCGGCCGATCGCGGCTGGTTCAGACTCCTGACGGCGAGGGAGCTCCATGTCTGCAGGACGCTCCTGTAGAAAGGTGGCAGCTGTCCCAGTGGGAGGCCCTGCAGGTCCAAGTAGAATAGTTGTTTGGAGCACTGCAGAGCCCCCAGCTGTTTCAGGAGGAAGGAGGCCGTGACGCTCCAGGCCGGTACAGCAGCGGCAATGCAGGAACTTTCGCGCGGCCTGCAGTCGGAAGGTGGCCAGCTGACTCCGCACGCACACCGGCCCGTGACCGCCCTCGTCCAGTGGCAGGGCCAGGACCCCAGCCGCGACCCGGTGTCCTCTGCCCGACATGAAGAAGTCGAGGACTCGCTCCTGAAGCGCGTTGACGAGGCTCATGGGGGGTGCAGGGAGAAGAGTCGGTGCCATGGCATGGACGTCACCAGCTGGTTCACCACCAACGTCTTTGTCCTGAAGGTGAGGAACTTGCACAGGCGACTCCAGGTGGTCCAGCCGCTCCTTCACCTTCTCCTCCAGCTCGAGCCAGTTCCTCTGCGGTGGTTCTTCCTCTGGTCCCAGGAACACCCCCAGGTGGTGCAGCAGCGATGTTGTGCTCCAATTGATGGTTTTGCCTTCTCGGGAAACTCGGTCATGTCCCACGCTCCAACCAGCAGCCTGCTGCACTTTCGCCAGTTCATTTTTGATGAGGAGGCCTTCGAAGAGACCTCCTGGCACTCGTGCCGCTGGGCGACATCATCCAGGGAGCGCAGGATGAGGAGGACGTCGTCGGCATATGCCGTCAGGACCAACTTGACGCTTGGTTCCCTGCGCACCAGGCCCCGCTGAGTCTCCGCCTTACGAGACTCAGGAAAGGCTCTAAAGCCAGGGCGTGAAGTTGGCCCGACAAGGGGCATCCCCGTCTCACTCCTCACTCGAATTTGACCAGGGCAGTGAGGGCGCCGTTGACCTTGATGACGCACTCGGACTTGGTGTGGAGTAGGCGGATCGTTCGGACAAAGCCATCCCCCAAAAAGCAAAGGTGTTGAGGGTTCCCAGCAGGTATTTGTGGTCCACTCTGCTGGTCAAGGGCCAGAAACGCGATTTGGGAAGTCCAACCTCTGGGACACCGCGATTAGGTTCCTGACTCTCTCTCCCCCCCCTCTCTATCTCCTTCTCTCACTTCCCCCTCCTCCCCCCCTCTCCCTCTCGATTCGACGCGAGGTGTTTTTGTTTTCGCTGCTGCTGCTCGTGTTGATGGTGGTGCTGCAAGCAACCATGCGACCACTTATAGGAAACCTCCCCCCACCCCTCTCACCCCCCGTCACCCCGTGTCACCCCCACCCCTCTGACCCCCCGTCACCCCTCCTGTCATCTCGACCCCCACGTCACCCCTTGTGTACCCCCCCACCTCGCCTGGGAGTGAACCGCGAGCCTCACCCCGTGGCTGAGTTCAAGTGTCTGTGCGACTTTATGTCTGTGTCTGTGTGTGTCTGTGTGTGTCTGTGTCACTTTGTGTGTGTCTGTGTGTCTGTGTGACTTTGTGTCTGTGTGTCTGTGTGTCTGTGTGACTTTGTGTCTGTGTGACTTTGTGTCTGTGTCTGTGTGTCTGTGTGACTTTGTGTGTCTGTCTGTGTGTCTGTGTGTGTGTCTGTGTGTCTTTGTGTCTTTGTGTCTGTGTGTGTGTCTGTGTGTCTGTGTGTGTCTTTGTCACTTTGTGTTTGTGTCACTTTGTGTTTGTGTCACTTTGTGACTGTGTCACTTTGTGACTGTGTCTGTACGTCTGTGTGTCTGTGTCACTTTGTGTCTGTGCGACTTTCTGTTGAGGCCGAGGCGACCTAGGGGAGGCCCGTGCCGGTTCGGCGGCCGTGAGCGGGAATCGAACTCGGGTCGCAGTGCCCACAGCGCTGCACAACAGACAAAGGTCCCCCGTGTAGCCTCAACAGCCCGCTGGCGGCAAGTGCCGTTCGCGGGGAGCGGCGCCGAGCGAAGGGTTCAGTGGACGGTGACGTCACCACGGCGACCCGTGCCAGGCTAGGTGCACGCTGCACAACACAGACAAAGACTTTGTCTCACCCCCCCCCCCCCCCCCCGTGCCGGGTGCTCGTTTTTTGAGGTCGAGTCGATCTAGGGGGGGGGGTGTAGAAGCGAGGCACTTGACCCTACGGTGGGTTGGAGGCTACCTGGGCGGTGTGGGGCAGCTTTGTCTGTGCGCCGTCAGCAGCGGTGTCGCTACGCATCGCCACGTCTCGGCGGTCGTCAGGAATGAAAAAAAAATCATCAGCAGCAACAGCATCATCATCAGCAGCAGCAGCGTCATCATCAGCAGCATCATCAGCAGCAGCAGCATCATCATCAGCAGCAGCAGCATCAGCAGCAGCAGCGTCATCAGCAGCAGCAGCATCATCATCATCAGCAGCAGCAGCAGCGTCATCATCATCATCAGCAGCGTCGTCATCATCAGCAGCAGTATCATCAGCAGCGGCATCATCAGCATCATCATCAGCATCATCATCAGCAGCGTCATCAGCATCATCAGCATCATCAGCAGCAGCAGCATCATCGTCATCGTCACCATCAACGCCATCATCAGCATCAGCATCATCATCGTCATCATAACCATCATCATCGTCACCATCATCATCGTCATCATAACCATCATCATCGTCATCATAACCATCATCATCGTCACCATCATCATCGTCATCATCACCATCATCACCAACATCATCGTCATCATCACCAACATCATCACCATCATCATCACCATCATCACCAACATCATCACCATCATCACCATCGTCATCATCATCATCACCATCATCACCATCATCACCACCATCATCACCATCATCGTCACCATCATCACCACCTGTGTGTGTATGTGTAGTAAGTATGTAGGAGGCTTGACGACAGGATCGGAGGCACACTTGTTTATTACACCAACTTGTGCACACACAGTAATTACGGGTCACTTGGCTACAGGGATACACAACAGCTAACCCCGCTAACCTATGCCCAAGTCCTCCACTACGGAGCTAGGGGAGGCTATCTATCCCAGCCCTGGTCAAGCTGGGATCCCGGCACCCTGAGTCTCCAGACCGGCTCGTCAGTCTGGGCTCTCGGGGCCACGCCACCGGCTTGCCCTGGTCGGCCCTTATAAGGACAGCGAGCCAGGGGAGCTCTGGGGCCTATTCTAGCAGGTCTTCCTTCTTCTCTGGTTAAAGCTGAGCTCCGACCTCGAGCCCTCCGGCTCACCACCTTTTATAGGACTCGGCCCCCGGGAGGGGCCCGTGGGGGATGCAGGTGCGGACGTCGGTGCGAGCACCTCCCCAGTGTACGGCCGTAACCCCGCCCCTTGTGTTTGTTGGCCATCCGTGGCCATACACAATTACACCTCTACATATGTAACTGTGTGTGTGTGTACCTGTATGTGTGTGGATGTACCTGTGTGTGTGTGTGTACCTGTATGTGTGTGTGTAGCTGTGTGTGTGTATGTGTATGTACCCTGTGTGTGTGTACCTGTGTGTGTGTGTGTACCTGTGCAGGTGCTACGCGCCCGCTCACCCGCGCCGCGTCTACCAGGGCGTGCGTGTGTGTGTACCTGTGTGTGTGTGCACCTGTGTGTGTGTGTACCTGTGTATGTACCTGTGTGTGTGTGTACCTGTGTGTGTGTGTGTACCTGTGTGTGTGTGTGTACCTGTGTTGTGTGTGTACCTGTGTGTGTGTGTACCTGTGTGTGTGTGTGTGTACCTGTGTATGTACCTGTGTGTGTGTGTGTGTGTGTATGTACCTGTGTATGTACCTGTGTGTGTGTGTGTACCTGTGTATGTACCTGTGTGTGTACCTGTGTGTGTACCTGTGTGTACCTGTGCAGGTGCTACGCGCCCCACTCACCCGCGCCGCGTCTACCAGGGTGTGCGTGTCCGCAACACCGTCAAGGAGCTACTGGCCGCCGTGCGGGAGGAGGGCGGCCACCTCGGCAGGGCCCCGGGGGGCCATCGGAAGGCCCACACGGCGGCCACGCGCCCACCGCACCGCCACGTGGTACCTGCCGCACAGACAAAGCTCCCCCGGGTAGCTCACGCGGGCCGGTGAGGCAAGTTCTGCTAGCGGGGAGTGCCTACGCAGGCCGTCAAAACGACCCGGCCGCCTTTGTCTCCAGAGTGGCGATGTTTACACTGTAATTTGTGGCCGAGTCGACCTAGGCGAGGCCCAAGACCGGTTCAGATAATCGTCACTGATTTTGGTGGCCGTGAGCGGGAATCGAACTCGGGGGTGGCTGGGTTTGTAGCTTAACGCGCTCGCCACCCACCCACTCACTCACCCACACACTCACCCACACACTCACCCACCCACCAACTCACCCACCCACCCACCTGCTCACCCGCTCACTCACCCACTCACTCACCCACTCACTCACCCGCCCACTCACCCACTCACTCACCCACACACTCACCCACACACTCACCCACCCACCAACTCACCCACCCACCCACCTGCTCACCCGCTCACTCACTCACCCACTCACTCACCCACTCACCCACTCACTCACCCACTCACTCACCACCCACTCACCCACCCACCCACTCACCCACCCACCAACTCAGCCATCACTCACGAAACCTGTCACTCACTAAACTCGTGCAATGTTCCTTTCATTTCAGGCGCAAGATTCTCTGAATTACTGCGCCGACTTCCGAGGTGAGTCCATTCTCTTCATAATTCGTTGGCAAACAACCATCCGCAGGAGTGCACGCACACACGCACACACAGACAAAGCTCACCCGTGCGGTATACAGAGCCCGCTGGGGCAAGTGCTGCGAGCGAGCATCGAGTTAGCGCCGACAAAGGCCGGCACGGCGCACAGACGGGGGGCTTGGTGCAGCAGCAAACACCGCGCCCGGCCGCCTTTGTCTCCCCGCCAAAGCAGAAATCAGAGCCGAGACATTCGAACGGAAATCGGAACGGAGATGAGCAAAGAGAAATCCGCTGAAAGACGAGCATCCCTCTTGCACTGGCACGCTCGGTGGAATCCAGCGGTGGAGTCGCCCTCTGACCCCGCCCTCTGACCCCGCCTTCTGACCCCGCCCTCTGACCCCGCCCTCTGACCCCGCCATCTGACCCCGCACTCTGACCCCGCCCTCTGACCCCGCCCTCTGACCCCGCCCTCTGACCCCGCCCTCTGACCCCGCCCTCTGACCCCGCCCTCTGACCCCACCCTCTGACCCCGCCCTGGCCATGCCCTCTGACCCCACCCTCTGACTCTACCCTCTGACCCCGCCCTGACCATGCCCTCTGACCTCACCCTCTGACTCCGCTCTTTGACCCCGCCCTCTGTCCCTGCCCTCTGACCCCAACTTCTGACCCCACCCTCTGACTCCACCCTCTGACCCCACCCTCTGACCCCACCCTCGACCCCACCCTGACCCCACCCTCTAAACTTTGCCCTCTGACCTTGCCCGCTGTGATGTCGCCCGCCCCCGCAGACCTGCCCACCCCATCGGCTGCCCACTGCCCCCACCACCCTCACCACCAGCCTCACCACCAGCCTCACCACCAGCCTCACCACGCTCACCACCCGGGCGGGGGGGCCACCACGGCCGAGGGGGCCGTTGTACGGAACCCCGCCGTGCCACGGGGGGACGCCCGGACTCACGCCCACCCACTACGCCGACTGCCTGCCTCCAGAGGTGGTCCCCTCCTCCTCCCCCTCCTCCTCCCCCTCCATCCAACTCCTCGTCGCCCTCCTCCTTCCCATCTTCCCCTCGGGGGGGGGGGGGGGGATGGGGGGGGAATGGGGGGGCCCTCACACACAAAGACAAAGGTACCCCCCCCCCTGTGTAGGCTTTGCCGGGCTTCTTGGGGGTCAAGTGCTGGGAGCAAGCAGCTGTGGAGGGGGGCGCCTATCGGTGCGATGTTGTCCAGCAGCCCGCCCGCCCGCCTTTGTCTCCCCCAGTGCTGGTGTTTGCACACCGCACCAGGTGCTCGTTTTGAGGCTGAGTCGACCTAGGGGCGAGCCCCACGACCAGGTCCAATCTTTGGGTGGCACTGACCCGTATACACAAGCGAAAAAGACAAATATCCCCCCCCCCCCCCCCCGCGTAGCCTCAACGGATTGTTGGGGAAAGTGCCGTTAGCGCTCACCCAGGAGCCGTTGGTGGCCACAATCGGGATTCGAACTCGGGCCTTTGCCAGGTTCATAGCATAGCAGCGCGCTAACCGCTGCACCATCGCTCCCTAGCGCCACCACCGCCGCCACCACCGTCCGGCTAATTCTGTCCGTCTTCTCAATTGACCCCTCCCCAGATCGCCTTCCAGTACTGCGAGCAGCCTGCGGCCTACATAGGCGAGTTCGGCCTGCTGGAGTCAGCGGGGACCTCCCTACGGTCTCTCGCAGTTCCCGGCCTTCCACTCGGCCAATCTCGACCACCTCCAAGGGCTGGACAACAACCACAACCACCACCACCACAACAGCCACCACAACCACCACCACCACCTCGCCCACAACCTGCACAGTCTCCACCAGGAGGGGCCCATCAACAGCGGAACCACCTACACGGTAAGGCGGCGTTCTTCATCGCCAAGGCCACACGCATCGGCCCTCCCCGACAGTACACAAAGAGTGAGAACACCCCTCGTCGTCGTCGTCGTTATCGTCGTCGTCGTCGTCGTCGTCGTCGTCAGTCGTCATCATCATCGTCGCCATGCTGCAGTCAAACACCCCAATGGTGTAAACACATTGTCCTGCGGAGGGAGCTGGTAGGAACGTTGGGTTGCTCGGTCAATGGCCAGGGTCAACGGCGGCGTGGTGTATTCCGCAAATATGTCCAACTGTGAGGGCGGGCACAAAATGGCATGAGTAGGTTAAACGTTGAGTTTTATAAGGGCACCACGGGGTGACCAGCCCCTCCCCACCCAGCCCCACCCCTCCTTCCCACCTAGCCCCACCCTCCCCACCCAGCCCCACCCCTCCCACCCAGCCCCACCCTCCCCACCCTCCCCACCCAGCCCTCCCCATTCTCCCCTCCCCACCCAGCCCCACCCTCCCCACCCAGCCCCTCCCTGCACGACGGACACAATAATCCCCTGTGGGCTGGTGTAACCAGGAGGTTCCTACCAGTAAATGTGTGGCAGCCCTCGCTCACTGATTGATGTCTTACTGGCGAAGGTCAACATGAGCCAAAAAGTTTCGATTTAAAGCTTTCATGACTGCAGAGATTCATCTTCTTGGTTCTTTCGGTAAAGTCACGTAGAATGGAAATAGTAAAATAAAAAAAGTAAAGCATAATTATTTCATTATTTTTACTTTTCATTACCGAAAGAACCAAGAAGATGAGCCAAAAGCACAGCAGTAAAGGAGGAGACGGGAGGTCACGTAATGTAGCTGCTCACCCCGAGCTCTCGATGCCCTGGTAGTGGCATCGTCCTGGTGCTGTTCGCCGTTTGGCGTTGCCCTCTGGTCTAACACTGTTAGTGAGAATGGGCTCTAAACAAAGTTGTCTGGTGTGGACCATTCGGTTTCAAAGACAATGCATCGTTTACTACCAGGGCATCGTTTTATGTTTTGCATGTTCACCACAAGTTCGTGTGGTTGATGCAGTAACAGGATTCCTTGCAAAGAGGTTTTTGTTTGGTGTTTTAAAATCTTAACACAACACCACCACCATCATCATCAACACCACCATCGCCACCATCATCATCACCACCACCACCATAATCATGATCATCAACACCACCACCATCATCAACACCACCATCATCATCAACACCATCACCACCATCATCAACACCACCACCACCACCATACTCATCATCAACACCACCACCACCACCATAATCACCACCACCACCACCATCACCACCACCACCATCACCTTCATAGACGCTACTCGCTTCACAGCACTTGCCCCAACATTGCGTCACAGGCTACACAATCTGTGGGGGGGGGGTCTCTTGTCGTGTCCCTGCGTGCAGGCGCGCGTCTTCGAGGCTCCCCTGTACAGCGCGTCCGCCCGAGGGGTCGGCCTGGGGGGCCCCCCCTACGCCGGGTTCGAGGGCTTCCTGAGTGGGGGGGGGCCCTCCGCCTACAGCCCCCAGGGGGAGGTCCACGAAGGCCTCCTGGACCTGAGCGTCGGCCACGTGGACGCGGGCAGGGAGACACTGCCAGAGGTGAGGCTAGCGGCATGGGCCGCAGCGGCAGCAGCAGCATCAGTTTCATTATCAGCGTCGTCACTAGCATCATCACCGTCACGAGCATCATCAGCAGCAGCAGTGTCATCAGTAGCAGCAGCAGCTGCAGCAGTTTCATTATCAGCATCGTCACTAGCATCATCATCAGCAGCAATGTCATCAGTAGCAGCATCGGCAGCAGCAGCATCAGCAGCTTCATCAGTTTCATTATCAGCGTCGTCACTAGCATCATCATCAGCAGCAGTGTCATCAGTAGCAGCATCGGCAGCAGCAGCAGTGTCATCAGCAGCAGCATCATCAATGTAATCAGCGTCATCAGCAGCAGCACCATCACAGTCTTAATCACACTTGCCAAATCACTTGCTCGCTAACTCACTCTGTCTCTCCCTCCCCGTGTGTCTCTCTTCCTGTGTTTCTTTCTCTCCTTGTGTCTCTCTCTCCCCATGTATCTCTCTCCTCGTGTCTCTGTCTCCCTGTCTCTCTCTCTCTCCTCGTGTCTCTCTCTCTCCTCGTGTCTTTCTCTCTCCCCGTGTGCGTCTTTCTCTCCCCGTGTCTCTTTCTCCCCATGTCTCTCTCTCCCCGTCTCGTTCATAAGTAGAGGAGTCCCTTATTCTGATGCTGATGTATCCTCCTCCTCCTCTAGGGCTACATCTTTGGAGCGATCAGCACCGGCTATGGCTTCATGGGGGTCGAAGGTCAGAGCTCGCCAGACCATCCCGGCGAATCAGCGGAGGAGGAGTGGATACTCGGGTCAACCAGGACGCAGCAGCAGCCGCCACCTCCTCCACCTCCTCATCCACCTCCTCATCCACCTCCTCATTGAGCGAGGGTTCTCCTGTCAGGGCGTCGGCCGCAGCAGCTGCAGAATAAGATGCACGGCTGCTGTCATCAGCAGCAGCAGAAGCAGCAAACCCGACGAGCACAACTATCATCATCAGCAGCAGCAGCAGCAGCTGCTACATCAGACGCACAAACAACATCAGCAGCAGCAGCAGAATCGGGACCAGCAGCTGCATTAGGCGCACTATTATGGTGCTGTTGATTATGGTGGTGGTGGTGATAATGGTGGTGGTGTTGATGATGGTGCTGTTGGTGATGACAACGATGGTGGTAACGATGACGGTGGCGGTGGTGCTGACGCATCATCCGACAGTTTTGTTGTCCCCCCCCCCGCACCTCCAATTAGCACGGTTGGCTACGTACGATGGTGCGAAAGAGGTTCAACGCACACTGAACATGTAGCAACAACTGCCACCATCTACTGTCAAGATGCACATCCACTGTGAACCCCACTGGATGAACTCCAGATATGACACTCTCCCATTGTAGGCATCGAAACCACTGAACCCCAGAGGATGAATTCCATATACAACACTCCGCCCATTTTAGATATCTAAACCACTGTGAACTTCAGATATAAATTCCATATACAACACTCCGCCCATTTTAGATATCCAAACCACTGTGAACTCCAGATATGAATTCCATATACAACACTCCGCCTATTTTAGATATCCAAACCACTGTGAACCCCACTGGATGAACTCCAGATGACATATACTTCCCTATGGCGTTTATGAATTTAAAAGTAATAATTATTTTTTCTAAAGTTATTTTACGATTGTTAATTAATTCACATTTCGGGATGTTTACTTGTGGGGTTAAAGACGTGTGTGTGTGCGTGCGTGCGTTGGGTAGAGTGGGTGCATAAAGTCTTAAAAGATGTTTTAGATATACTTTTTAAAAATATATATTGTGGTGGAAGCTCAAAGGAGCAAGCCCCTGCAGTTGCCTGTCTGACGAGGGCAGCAGCAGCGGGGGGTGGTGGTGGTGGTGACGGTGGTGACGGTAGTTCTTCTGTGTACATAACAGGGTGTGTGAGAGATTCTTGAAGAGGGCGTGCGAGTTACCGACACTTTACCCCCACCACACGTGGCCTGACCGAGCGTAGACTTCTTTTACACACATTACTACACATGCAGCGTCTCGCTTGACAACTGAGATAGGTTCTGCAAACAATTTGCTCGTTTACACCATTGGAACCTCATTTGCCAGTAAAAAAATATGATAATTGTTTTTTTTACCCTTCTATCTGGCAACAAAAGCTGTCTCGGGTGTGGACCAATCAACTTCAAGGACAGTGCATATATTATCAGAGTTATGTTTTTTTGTTTGCATTATGGCTGCAGGTATTGTGGTCTATGCAAACATGACTCCTTGTAAAAAAAAGTTTCAGTTTTGTTGCCAGATAGAAGGGTAAAAAAAACAATTATCAATTTGCTCGTTATGAACAATAGGAAGAGATTTTACCCATTCTGTCGATAAAACAGTTGTGTTCAAATGTTCAAACACCAAATAGACACCTTTTGCAAGGAATAAAATCTGCATTAACCACAAACAGCACTTGTGGTGAACTTGCCAACAAACTGATAATAAATGTTGCATTGTATCTGAAACTGATTGTCCACCAGAGACAGCATTCTTTAGAAGAGAGACATCTTCTTGGTTCTTTCGGTAAAGTCACGTAGAAGGAAAATAATAAAAGAATAAAAATAAAACATAATAAATAAATTCTCACGACGTTTCGGCCACAACGCGAGCAGCCGTCCTCGGGTGAAGAAAAGAAAAAAACATTCTTTACCCGAGGACGGCTGCTTGCGTTGTGGCCGAAACGTCGTGAGAATTGTATTTTATAATGTTTTATTTTTATTATTTTATTATTTCCCTTCTACGTGACTTTACCGAAAGAACCGAGAAGATGAATCCCTGCAGTCACAAAAGCTTTAAATCGATAAAGAGAGACATCCTTTTTTAGAAGGCTTTCTTTCGAAGGCAGACAGGTTTGCTGCTTCTGCTCATGCTGCTGCTGATGACGTGTAGACCCATAGGCCATAGGCCTCATGTAGGCCACGTGTCACCCCCCCCCCCTAGGCCTCGCATAGGCCGTAGGTCTCATGAAGGACCGTAGGCCTCGTGTAGGTCGCATGAAGTTGTGGGGTGTAGTTTCCCCACCCCGGTTCTGAAGGGAAAATAATGTTTTATGTACATAAAAGGGATCTTAGTCGTATCATCGTCATCATCGTTGTTATTTAAACATGGCCGGTCTCTCAACCAGAATCTGACCGCTTATATAGCGTATATCAAAAGATTGGCACGTTTCCACAGATGTTAGGATGGTGTTCGTGTGGCCAATGTATCAATCTGAATGTGACCGACAGATACCCGGTCGATAAACCGGCACGTATGGACTATGATGCCTGCGAAAACGTGGCAATCTCGTCGTGCTTTCACAAATAAGGATTCGGATGATTTTATATATATTTAAATTTCGTGTTGTTTTTTAAGTTGTGGTTTAAGTTTAAATGAGAAAGGTATATGGATATCAAGCGTTTTGTATAACCTGAGGCTCGCAGAGCCAGACCAGAGCACAAAGATAACAGGAATGTGATGCGAGTGGGAGCCAGGCCCGAGGTGAGCAGCGTGAAGTAACTGTAACATAAGTTGAATAAAAGACGGATTCCAGAAGTCGTCTCAACGAGCTTTATTACACCCACATCTTCATGTGCGGGGACATTCACTGTGCAGCTCCATGCAGCGCACTGCCGTTTCAATGCGGGCAACAACAACTTAGTTATATTCTTGGTTCTTTCGGTAAAGTCACGTAGAAGGGAAATAATAATAAAAAAAATCTTGCTGTGGGTTTCACACCTGATGATGATTGCTTGTGTTGCAATCGAAATGTCGTGAGAATTTTTTATTGTTTTATATTTTTATTATTTTATTTTTCTTTGAAATTTTCTTTCTGTGGGTTTCACACCTGATGATGATTGCTTGTGTTGCAGTCGAAACGTCGTGAGAATTTGTATTGTTTCATATTTTTCTTATTTTATTATTTCCCTTCTACGTGACTTTACCGAAAGAACCGAGAATATGAATCCCTGCAGTCGCGAAAGCTTTAAATCAAAACAACTTAGTTGTCTCTGTATTTTTGTTTCTCTCTTGTGGTGGGACTTTGAAGGATGCACGTTGAGATGTATGAGGACCACGTGGTGACCAATGTAGTCTCACTTGGCCTCTAGTAAGTTGGCACTGCTGGTAATGGGTTGACAGGTACGTAGTGGTGAGTGTAGTGGTGAGTGTACTAGTGGTGATTGTCTCTTTGTGTTTCTCCCTTGTGATGGGACTTTGAAGGATGCACGTTGAGATGTATAAGGGTCAATGTCGTCTCACTTGGCCTCTAGTAAGTTGGCACTGCTGGTAATGGATTGACAGGTACGTAGTGGTGAGTGTAGTGGTGAGTGTACTAGTGGTGATTGTCTATTTCTGTTTCTCCCTTGTGATGGGACTTTGAAGGATGCACGTTGAGATGTATAAGGGCCACGGGGTGACCAATGTAGTCTCTCACTTGGCCTCTAGCAAGGCAGGGCACAAGGGGTTGACGGCTCTCTCGTGGTGACGTTGCCGCTCTCACACCCCGCGCGCCCGAGGGAGGAGCATCCCCGTGCCAAGTGTTGCAAGGGAACAAGAAATGCCGAGAGTCAATATTGTTTTTGGATGGTAGCGACTCTCAGCGGAGTGTGCTCGAGTGTTTGTCTTGGCGCTAATAGGCGCTCGCTAACAGCACTTGCCCGATAAGCCTCATTATACCAACAGACACCCCCCTGCGCGTGCGTCTGATTGTGTGTGTGTTGAGGGTGTGTATTGTGTAAAGACGATACGGGGGTCTTTGTATTGTGGGGAGCGGTGGTGCAGTGGTTAGGGCGCTGCGCTACGGACACGGTGACCCGAGTTCGATTCCCGCTCGCGGCCAATACCCAGTGACGATTATCTGAACCGGTCCTTGGCCTCCCTTAGGTCGAATCAGCCTCAAATGACTACCTGGTGCGATGTGTAAACATCGTCACGTAGATAAAAATAAATAATAAGAATTTTAAAAACATTTACATAATAGAAATAATAATAGAAAACATATCATAAATCACGACGTTTTATAATTTCGTCATCAGGTGGGACCGTCATAGCTAGATTTACAGTACAAATTTAACAGTAGATTTAGCTGTGACGGTCCCACCTGATGACGGAGACTTGTGTTGCCTCTGAAACGTCGTAATTTATTATATTATTTCTATTTTTACTACTATTAATTTTTGTTTTACCTACGTGACTTTACCGAAAAAACCTAAGAGTATGAATCCTTGCAGTCACGAAAGCTTCAAATCTATGATTCAATTCTCTTTGTTAAAAAAAAAATTGGTGATAGAGGCGAGAATGCCAGAAATGAATGGACTAAGCTCATTTGCAAGAGTCGCCTGGGCCACCAGCACGACACGAGCTCCACAATATCCCTGGAACCTTCCTTGTACTTTAGTTTCAACGTGTGCAGCTCCTTCCTGGCAATCAAACAGCAGTTAAGATGTGCAAACAACAAATAGATGATAGCTCTTGCGAGGAATTAAGTGACTGCGATAACCACACACAGGGATTGTGGTTCACATGCAAACAAAACGCGCTCCGATAGACACATTCCTGCTGCGGAGGGAGCTGGTAGGAACGTTGGGTTGCTCGGTCAATGGCCTGCAGGGTCAACGGCGGCGTGGTGTATTCCGCAAATATGGCCGACTGTGAGGGCGGGCACAAGCCGGCGTGAGTAGGTTAAACGTTGAGTTTTATAAGGGCACCACGGGGTGACCAGCCCCTCCCCACCCCTCCCACACGTACACACACGTACACACGTACACACACACGTACACACACAGACGCACGTACACACACACGCACAAACACACACGTACACACACACGTACACACACGTACACGTACACACACACACGTACACACACACGTACACACACAGACGTACACACACGTACACACACATACACGCACACACACACACGTACACACACGTACACGTACACACACACACGTACACACACGTACACACACAGACGTACACACACGTACACACACACGTACACACACACGTACACACACACACGTACACACACACACGTACACACAGACGTACACACAGACGTACACACACGTACACACACACACGTACACACACACGTACACACACACGTACACACACGTATACACGTACACACACACACGTAGAATCGAACATCTCACAACAGGTACACACACGTACACACACACGTACACACACGTACACACACACACGTACACACACACGTACACACACACGTATACACACACGTACACACGCACACGTACAATCGAACATCTCACAACAGGTAGTGGCTCTAATTTTGAACGAAAGGATTGAAGCGTGCCAGCGAGGTGTGTGGGGAGCCGCGAGTGATCTGTGAGCAAAAGAGCTTTGTGGCTTATCGGATTTTCTCGCCTGCCCATCAACACGGGGCGAGGTGTGGTGGTGGTGGTGGTGGAGTAGACCCCCATCGAAGATGAACATCTGTGGAGGGATGCAGATGAGGCTGATGATGAACGACCCGGGTTCGATTCCCACTCACGGCCACCAACACCGCTGACGATGATCGAAACCGGTGCTGGGCTTCCCCGCTGGTGCGGTGTGTAAACATCGAGAGTGCAGATGATTGGACATGTAGGTGAGTGTGTGTGTGTGTAGGTGAGCGTGTATGTAGATGAGTGTGTAGATGTGTGTATGTAGGTGAGTGTCTTGGTCAGTGTGTATGTATGTAGGTGAGTGTGTAGGTGAGTGTCTAGGTGAGTGTGTAGGTGAGTGAGTAGGTGAGTGTCTTGGTCAGTGTGTATGTATGTAGGTGAGTGTGTAGGTGAGTGTCTAGGTGAGTGAGTAGGTGAGTGTGTAGGTGAGTGTGTAGGTGAGTGAGTAGGTGAGTGTGTAGGTGAGTGTGTAGGTGAGTGTCTAGGTGAGTGTGTAGATGTGTGTATGTAGGTGAGTGTCTTGGTCAGTGTGTATGTATGTAGGTGAGTGTGTAGGTGAGTGTCTAGGTGAGTGTGTAGGTGAGTGTATAGGTGAGTGTCTAGGTGAGTGTGTAGATGTGTGTATGTAGGTGAGTGTCTTGGTCAGTGTGTATGTATGTAGGTGAGTGTGTAGGTGAGTGTCTAGGTGAGTGAGTAGGTGAGTGTGTAGGTGAGTGTGTAGGTGAGTGTGTAGGTGAGTGAGTAGGTGAGTGTGTAGGTGAGTGTGTAGGTGAGTGAGTACGTGAGTAGGTGAGTGTGTAGGTGAGTGAGTACGTGAGTAAGTAGGTGAGTGTGTAGGTGAGTGTGTAGGTGAGTGTGTAGTTGAGTGAGTAGGTGAGTGAGTAGGTGAGTGAGTAGGTGAGTGTGTATGTATGTAGGTGAGTGTGTAGGTGAGTGTGAGTGAGTAGGTGAGTGAGTGTGTAGGTGAGTGTGTAGGTGAGTGAGTAGGTGAGTGTGTAGGTGAGTGTGTAGGTGAGTGTGTAGGTGAGTGTGTAGTTGAGTGAGTAGGTGAGTGAGTAGGTGAGTGAGTAGGTGAGTGTGTATGTATGTAGGTGAGTGTGTAGGTGAGTGTGAGTGAGTAGGTGAGTGAGTGTGTAGGTGAGCGAGGTGAAAAAATGAGAATAGGGTTTTACCCTTGTTGGCACTGAAACACCAGTGGTGTTAAGATTTTCGAACACCAAATAGAAACCTTTTGCAAGAAATCAAGTGGCCGCGTTAACCACATAGGACCCTTGTGGTGAAACATGCAAACAAAACATGCCCCAACAATATATGCATTGCTTATTTTTACGATTTGGTGTTTGAACACCTTAACCCAGCTGTTTTATTGCCAGACAGGGTAAAAAAAAAACTCTTCTTATTTTTAAAATAAACAAAACGCGACAAGACTGCAGAGTGCAGGGAAAGGTGAACACGTTTTTTTTTTCTTTTACAAATGTACGCACCAATAAAACTTAACTTTTCATTTCAGGGTGCCGATTCCAAATCTGATCTCAGATTTGCTCTATCACATCTCATTTTTATGCTATCGGCATACCCCATTTTCATTGATTTTACCCGAAATTAACTCTGTCACTTACGATTGCAAGTTGTTGCGAGTCAGTGACTGCTTTAGTGTTAAAACATGGTGCTGTATTTTGAGGATAGTGTGTTTATAATAAAGGTGAACACATTTTTTTTTCTTTTATAAATGTACGCACCGATAAAACTTAACTTTTCATTTTATCTCACCAGGTACAGCCCCCAACTGACCTATCAAGTTGTTCTTTTTCAGGAGCCGTCTCGACAACACAACACAGAATCGGAGCCGGGGGAATCCGATGAACCGTAAAGCTCTTTACTCACAGACGTCCAGTTTGGGGGACCACGTGGTCAGAACGTTTCAACAACAAACACACGACACTTCGATTTAAAGATTTCGTGACTGCAGGGATTCATCTTCTTGGTTCTTTCGGTAACGTCACGTAGAAGGGAAATAATAAAATAATTAAAATAAAACATAATAAAATACAATTCTCACGACGTTTCGGCCACAACGCATGCTAACCCTACTCCCTCCCTTTGATGCTGCTAATCCTGCATAATGCACGGGCATAATATGACTTTGAAACCCCCCGCCCACCTCCTACGCATTTCACAAGTAGTGACTAATCCCATATCTGCATTTCCCATAAATATGCTAAATTCCTCTTGATATGCAAATTCTTTTGTCAAGGCGCTCTTCCCCCTCCAACCCAGCTTAAATATACACTGCCAAGCCTGGTGGTATTCATTCAGACGCTGTCTTTCCGACAGACCTGTTCTTCACCTGAGGACGGCTGCTTGCGTTGTGGCCGAAACGTCATGAGAATTGTATTTTATTATGTTTTATGTTTATTATTTTATTATTTCCCTTCTACGTGACTTTACCGAAAGAACCAAGAAGATGAAACACGACACATGTGCAAAGTACAAGATATGTAAACAAATCACCCACCATACATACAAACAGTTGAACACTTAGTCGGCTTTCGCAACCACTATCATTCTTCTTTTTCGATTTAAAGCTTTAATGACTGCAGGGATTCATCTTCTTGGTTCTTTCGGTAAAGTCACGTAGAAGGGAAATAATAAAATAATAAAACATAATAACATAATTCTTACGACGTTTCGGCCACAACGCAAGCAGCCGTCCTCAGGTGAAAAATTCATTCTTCACCTGAGGACGGCTGCTTGCGTTGTGGCCGAAACGTCGTGAGAATTATTTTATTATGTTTTATTTTTATTATTTTATTATTTCCCTTCTACGTGACTTTACCGAAAGAACCAAGAAGACAGTAACTTCTTGTTCAGAAGCGACTTGGGCCACCACAAATGACAGCCGCTCAACAAAGTGGCCCCGTCGTTTGGGCCATTCACATTGCAGCGGACATCATCGCAAAATAATCTCAGCGCGCACACGGTGACCCAGATGTCAGAGAACCCCACAGTGAACACATTGACCCATCACCGCCCTCTGCTGTTCAACTCCCTGCTGCCCTGTGACATCGTAAAAGCTTAGATTGTTTTTCTGTATTTTACCGGTAGGAACCTCCTGGTTACATCAGCCCACAGGGGATTACTGTGTCCGTCGTGTATTCCAAATATGGGAGGGGTGGGTGGGGCTGGGTGGAGTGGGGAGGGTGGAGAGGGGCTGGGCGGGGAGGGAGGGGCTGGGTGGGGAGGGTGGGTGGGGAGGGGCTAGGTGGGGAGGGTGGGGAGGGGCTAGGTGGGGAGGGTGGGGAGGGGCTGGGTGGGGAGGGAGGGTGAGGCTGGGTGGGGAGGGTGGGGCTGGGTGGGGGGTGGGAGGGGTGAGGTTTGGTAGAGTGGGGAGGGGCTGGGTGGGGAGGGAGGGGCTGAGTGGAAAGGGGAGGGTGGGGAGGGGCTGGGTGGGGAAGGTGGGGAGGGGCTGGGTGGGGAGGGGGCGGGTGGGGCTGGGTGGGGGGTGGGAGGGGTGGGGCTGGGTAGGGAGGGGCTGGGTAAGGAGGGGCTGGTCACCCCGTGGTGCCCTTATAAAACTCAACGTTTCACCTACTCACGCCGGCTTGTGCCCGCCCTCACAGTCGGCCATATTTGCGGAATACACCACGCCGCCGTTGACCCTGCAGGCCATTGACCGAGCAACCCGACGTGTTCCTACCAGCTCCCTCCGCAGCAGGAATGTGTTTATTGGGTTGGGGTTAGAACATCGTCATCATCATCATCAAGCAGAGCTCTCTTAACCTTTGCCGCAGCATTGCAGCCCTGTGGTTCCAAATCGTTAAAAACACAAGAGAATTGTGTACAATGTTAATGAATGCGAAGGGTCCATAATACAGGGGGAGTTTATTTGGGGTTCGTCCACCACGCTTACAAAGTCGTGGATTTACTCTCTAACACACAACCGGTTAGTGCTGTGCGAGTAACGAATTGGCACGTTCTGTTTACACGACACACCCCTCGATAATTGGCTGTGTCGGGTGGTGGCGGGTTTAACGACGACACATTTATATATTTACGCGATCTAACCCAACCAAAAAAAATAAACCCGTAAAAACAAAGTTTTTCACTCTAAATCCTTTATATGCGTGGCGGCTAGAGTCCTCTCATCCTCTGGCTTTAGATGGCTGCCACCTATGGGTCAGATGATTGTCTGCCAGTATTAAACAATTTGTAATTAAATATTTAATTTGTTTTCCCTAAACAGTGTAAAATTTTGGAGAAAAAAAATTTCACGAACATTAATTGTCTCGCACAACGAGTCTGTGTGCAAAATGTCAGCTCGATTGGATCACGGGAAGTGGGTTAAAAAACGACCGAAAGATTTGCACGGTCGTAAGCAAGCAAGCAAGCACGCAAGCAAGTGAACTTAATATAAAGGATTTAAAAAGCTTCACTATGGATATTGGACGCGAAAGCCTTCGTGTTAAACCGATAGCTACATCATGGGACCTTCTTTGCCAATAGCAAAATATGAGAATAAGTCTTCCCCTGTTTTGTTCTGGCAACAAATCAGCTGTGTTCAGATGTTAAAACACCAAACTGAAACCTTTTACAAGGAATCACGTCTGCATTAACCACAATGCTTGTGGTCGGAATGCAAAGAAAACACACTCTGATAATAAATGCATTGTCCTTGAAACTGATTGGTCCACACCAGAGACAGCTTTCTTTTGAGCCTCGTCTCAAACGGTGTTAGACCGGAGGACGCCAATGTTAAAGTCTCCCACAGACTCCAATGTTAAAGTCTCCCATAGACTTCAATGTTAAAGTCTCTACCCATAGACTTCAATGTTAAAGTCTCCCATAGACTCCAATGTTAAAGTCTCAACCTTAGACTCCAATGTTAAAGTCTCCCATAGACGTCAATGTTAAAGTATCCCATAGACTTCAATGTTAAAGTCTCCCATAGACTTCAATGTTAAAGTCTCCCATAGACTTCAATGTTAAAGTCTCCCATAGACTCCAATGTTAAAGTCTCCCATAAACTCCAATGTTAAAGTCTCCCATAGACTCCAATGTTAAAGTCTCCCATAGACTCCAATGTTAAAGTCTCCCATAGACTCCAATGTTAAAGTCTCCCATAGGCGTCAATGTTAAAGTCTCCCATAGACTCCAATGTTAAAGTCTCCCATAGACTCCAGTGTTAAAGTCTCCAACAGACTCCAATGTTAAAGTCTCCCATAGACTTCAATGTTAAAGTCTCTACCCATAGACTTCAATGTTAAAGTCTCCCATAGACTCCAATGTTAAAGTCTCAACCTTAGACTCCAATGTTAAAGTCTCCCATAGACTTCAATGTTAAAGTATCCCATAGACTTCAATGTTAAAGTCTCCCATAGACTTCAATGTTAAAGTCTCCCATAGACTTCAATGTTAAAGTCTCCCATAGACTCCAATGTTAAAGTCTCCCATAAACTCCAATGTTAAAGTCTCCCATAGACTCCAATGTTAAAGTCTCCCATAGACTCCAATGTTAAAGTCTCCCATAGACTCCAATGTTCCAGTCTCCCATAGACTCCAATGTTAAAGTCTCCCATAGGCTTCAATGTTAAAGTGTCCCATAGACTCCAATGTTCCAGTCTCCCATAGACTCCAATGTTAAAGTCTCCCATAGACTCCAGTGTTAAAGTCTCCAACAGACTCCAATGTTAAAGTCTCCCATAGACTTCAATGTTAAAGTCTCTACCCATAGACTCCAATGTTAAAGTCTCTACCCATAGACTACAATGTTAAAGTGTCTACCCATAGACTTCAATGTTAAAGTCTCTACCCATAGACTTCAATAATAAAGTCTCCCATAGACTCCAATGTTAAAATCTCCCATAGACTTCAATATTAAAGTCTCTACCCATAGACTCCAATGTTAAAGTCTCCCATAGACTCCAATGTTAAAGTCTCCCATAGACTAAAATGTTAAAGTCTCCCATAGACTCCAATGTTAAAGTCTCCTATAGACTCCAATGTTAAAGTCTCCCATAGACTCCAATGTTAAAGTCTCTACCCATAGACTCCAATGTTAAAGTCTCCCATATACTTCAATGTTAAAGTATCCCATAGATTTCAATGTTAAAGTCTCCCATAGACTTCAATGTTAAAGTCTCCCATAGACTCCAATGTTAAAGTCTCTACCCATAGACTGCAATGTTAAAGTCTCCCATAGACTCCAATGTTAAAGTCTCCCATAGGCTTCAATGTTAAAGTGTCCCATAGACTCCAATGTTCCAGTCTCCCATAGACTCCAATGTTAAAGTCTCCCATAGACTCCAGTGTCAAAGTCTCCAACATACTCCAATGTTAAAGTCTCCCATAGACTCCAATATTAAAGTCTCCCTTAGACTCCAATATTAAAGAAGTTCAACATACTGTACATACGGTATTAAACTGTAGCTCGCTCAAGGCTACTTCCGCACTTGACACTGGCCAGGTTGGGGAGAATCGATTCACTTTAATCGTCATGAGCGATTCCTTGTTGTTAAAAGGTATCGATATGCTAGATGGATCGTTACTTTCGATTCCCCCCTCTCTACCTTCACGTTAAATGTCACCGGACGGGATCGAATCGAATGTCTCAATGGTTTCTATTTGGTGAAGATTGGATCTTCGGAAACTGTTAATCGATCCAATAGAATCGATATATTCGATTTTCTATGTAAACTAATGTATATTGATTTTGATTACCTTTATACTGATAGGAACCACCTGGTTCCACCAGCCCACAGGGGATTATTGTGTCCGTCCGTCCGTCGTGCATCCAAAAATGTGAGGGGTGGGGCTGGGTGGAGAGGGGCAGGGTGGAGAGGGGCTGGGTGGGGAAGGTGGGGCTGGGTGGGGGGTGGGAGGGGTGGGGCTGGGTGGGGAGGGGCTGGTCACCCCGTGGTGCCCTTATAAAACTCAACGTTTAACCTACTCACGCCGGCTTGTGCCCGCCCTCGTTCCTACCAGCTCCCTCCGCAGCAGGAATGTGTTTACTATTTAGTCGATTTTCAAACATTTGTTCACATCTAAAATATCTAAGCAATCGTTTATAGTCTGTACAAAAATCTATTCCCCATTGATATCACGCATTCGATTATGAAATCGAATCAATTCATTGATAACACGATGGAACACAATTTTTGTTCCTGGGTAGTGTTATTTCGTAATTGCTTCTGCCTAACAAGTATATAAAATGGCTATTATTCCCCAGAAACGTTGCTTTTGTGACCAGGACAGTGATACTTTGAAATTTACCTATTTTCAATGAGAAAACGGTCGAATTTGTGTCTTTTCGTTCACATAAAGTGAGATAAAAGCAACACGAATCACAAGTAACGTGTATTCATACTAAAGAAATACAAAAAATACTGCAAAAGTTTTAGAAGCGAGTCGTTTTTCGAGATTTACGATTATACTGTAAATTACTTTCACGAATCACCCTCCAAATGTAGTCTCCCATCATGTTCTCGTTGTACTGTCCGTGGTAGCGGCGTTCAAAGTCCAGTGTATCCTGGTGTAAGCGCTCGCCTTGTTTCTCCGAGTACGCTCCCATGTTCTCTTTGAATTTATCAAGATGAGCATCAAGGATATGGACTTTGAGGGACATCCTACAGCCCATTGTTCCGTAGTTCTTCACCAGATTCTCAACCAGCTCCACATAGTTTTCGACCTTGTGACTGCCCAGGAAGCCACGAACCACTGCGACAAAGCTGTCCCAAGCTGCTTTCTCCTTACTAGTGAGCTTCTTGGGGAATTCACTGCACTCCAGGATCTTCTTTATCTGTGGTCCGACGAAGACACCGGCTTTGACCTTTGCCTCCGACAGCTTCGGGAAGAAGTCTTGAAGGTACTTGAAGGCTTCTGACTCGTTATCTATGGCTCTGACAAATTGTTTCATAAGGCCCAATTCGATGTGCAGTGGTGACATCAGCACCTTCCGGGGGTCCACCAGTGGCTCCCTCTTGACGTTGTTCCTCCCCACAGAGAACTCGGTCCGCTGTGGCCAGTCCCGCCTGTGGTAGTGCGCCTTGGTGTCCCTGCTGTCCCAAAGGCAAAGATAGCAGGGAAACTTGGTGAAACCGCCTTGGAGACCCATCAGGAATGCCACCATTTTGAAGTCTCCGATGACCTCCCAGCCGTACTCGTCATACTTCAAGGCGTCCAGCAAGGTCTTGATGCTGTTGTAATCCTCTTTGAGGTGCACCGAGTGAGCCAGGGGAAGAGACGGGTACTTGTTGCCATTATGGAGCAGCACGGCTTTGAGGCTCCTGGATGAGCTGTCAATGAAGAGGCGCCACTCATTCTGGTTACAGGCTATTCCGATTGCCTCGAACAGACTGGCCACATTGTGGCAGAAGCAGAGCCCATCTTGACGGGTGAAGAAGCTACAAAAAGGTCGGTGACGCTTCCTCCGATCTGCGACTTGCACACTTTCATCCAACAAGTTCCACTGCTTGAGCCGAGACGTCAAAAGCTCGGCATTGGACTTGGTGAGACCAAGATCTCTGATCAAGTCGTTGAGGTCTTTTTGGTTGGGGTAGTATGGGTTTCTCTCCTCAGCTCCACCTCTGAAATTGTCATCTTGGTCTACGATGTCTTCCTCGCTCTCTGACTTGCTGCTCTCTTCTAAAGACGGCTGCTCTCTCTCCGGAGGAGTGGGTACGGGGAGCTCATGGCAGTGTGGCACCGGGGCGATGGATGAAGGAAGGTCCGGATAAGTGATGGCGGGTGCATTCTTGCCAGTCCGACGTTTGGAAGGGTCCACCATGCAGAAGTAGCAGTTGCTTGAGTGGTCAGTGGGTTCCTGCCAAATTCTTGGGATAGCAAACTTCATGGCTCTCTTTTCCCCTCTGTACCATCCTACAAAAAGACATTTATTTCACGCATGATTAATTTGTGAGAGATTTGCGCCAACATTTTTCAGAAATATTTTTTTCAATAACATTGAAAATTGTAAACCATTTTTAAAATAAAATTAAAACTTTGACAATTTTCGATTTAAAGCTTTCGTGACTGCAGGGATTCATCTTCTTGGTTCTTTCTGTAAAGTCACGTAGAAGGGAAATAATAAAATAATAAAAAGAAAACATCATTAATTAATTTAATTGGTTTATTTTTATTCTTTTATTATTTCCCTTCTAATAAAATAATAAAAATAAAACATAACGAATTATTTTATTGTTTTATTTTTATTATTTAATGTTTTGTTTTTATTATTTTATTATTTCCCTTCTACGTGACTTTACCGAAAGAACCAAGCAGATGAATTTAAAATTTTCAAACAAATTTTATATGACACAAAATTCCATCTCACCTTCCAGAGTTTTTTTGCATGCCTCGCAGCTGAAATTAGGTGCCCAGGGTTTGTCTTGATCCCCAACAGGCATGCCAAAATATGCCTTGTAGGCCTCGCACATCTTAGCAGATGCTTCCACAGAATACTTTCTCGCTCTCGTCTTGATAAATTGCCCACAGACGTAGCAAAATGCATCTGCCGGATGCTTGCAGCCTCTTGATGCCATCTCAGAAAAATTCAAATATTGCATCCACTTTGGCAGATGAAACTGGTGGGCTTAAGGGCCCTCGCTGTATTTATACTATAATTTATATTGCTGGAAAACTCTAGAATGTTCTCGAAGTCACTCAAGTTTGCTCAGCACTGAATCTATCTGGGATGTTATGGAAAATGGGTTAAATGTGAAAATGTCACAAAAGCAAATCAAAAATACTGCTGCACACTGCCACCAACGCAGGGAATCGTTTTCTCGGCATCGATTTAAAAATCAAATCGATTCTCTCCATTAATTCGCTACTGATCGTCACCAGGAATCGTTTACGTCGCGATTCCGAGAATCGCTCTCGCCCATTGGTTCGCTCCTGAACGTCACCAGGAATCGTTTTGTTCGCGACTCCAAGAATCGCTCCCGCCCATTGCTTCGCTACTGAACGTCACCAGGAATCGTTTTGTTCGCGACTCCGAGAATCGCTCCCGCCCATTGGTAAACGTGGCGAGGAGTCGCGCGGTGTCGATTTCTTCGCGCGCGGATCGATCCGGCGTCATGGTGGACGAGGCGACCAGACGCAGTCTCAGCCGCATCCCGCTCCTGTCCACGGACGCGGGGCCACGACAGCGAGACGCGTGGGGAGCGCGCCTACGGGAGGAGTACTCGCGCACTCATTCAGGTAAGTCACTCACTCAGTCACTCAGCTAGTCACTCAGCTAGTCACTCAGCTAGTCACTCAGCTAGTCACTCCACTCAGCTAGTCACTCAGCTAGTCACTCAGCTAGTCACTCACTCACCCAGTCACTCAGTCACTCAGTCAGTCACTCAGCTAGTCAGTCAGTCAGTCACCCAGTCAGTCACCCAGTCACTCAGCTAGTCACATCACTCACCCAGT